GGCGGCACACAACGGAGTACAGAGAAAGGCGCAGGAGCAGGAGGAGAGGCTGACATGGGCAGGACAACTACACAGCGCGTCGCCTTGCAGATCAAAGTACCAACCTTGCAAGGCATATCGTAGCAGTGCATCGCATAGCGTTGCATCGTACATTATCCCATGTGCTTGTACAGTTCGAACTGGCAAAGAGGCGCATGGCGTGACGTAGCATCAATGCGTTCGCTGTGCATTGCATGGCGCAGCGTTGCCCAATTGCGGAATAGCATAGAACAGCATACCGTGGCATTGCTCAGCAACACATTCCATAACATAGCATCAATTTGCACAATATTGCATACCATAACACGCCTGTACAGATCACGGCATGGCATGGCATGGCATTGGTTGGCATAGTACAGCACAATCAGGCATAACATGGCATGGCGCGCGGGCACCCTGGTCGAACCCGACCGCCCAACCCCAAGGCCCCGACCCCAAGGGCCGCACTCGCGTAGCAAGAGGCCGAGCTCCCCGAGGGGGGCGCTTGGCGCACCATCGCACGGCCACCAGCTCTTGCGCAAAGCGAGCGAGGACCCCATAGAAACAGCATGGTTGAGAAGATAGACCATTACATCGCACAGTACATCATCACACTGGCATCTCAGTGACTCCGTTCGTGAATTCACTCCATATGGGCCCCTGGCGCGCAAGGAAAAAGGACCACAAACCGCGCCTCCCGAAACCGACCCGCCTGGGGAACTCTGGTGGGATCCCGGGGGATCAAAAACTTCTGACGAGCTGGGTCTGCCGAGTGAGTGCGGGGAGTGAGGGGCGAGGGGTGGGGGGCGGGGGCAGGGGAGCGAGACAGGGGCAAGTGCGGGGGAGGAGCTCCAGAGACAACAAGAACCCCCCGTGGTCTGCAACAGGAACATTCTGGATCAGCCACCGAGCAGCGGGCTACATATTGAAGCAAACAAAAGCATTCGCCGGGTCAGAGGCGTGGGACACGATACGGAGCGCACTCATTCGAGCCAATGTAACATCGAGCGCGCAACAGAAACAAAACAAAAAAAAAAAAAAACGCTGGCCGCGAGTTGTCCGAGAGTCGCCCTGGCGTCTTCAGCCCAATTCGCTGATTGTGCTCAAGACGGCCCCGAAAACGGGAATACGGTCGGCAACTCTTGCTGAGCGTATCGCGTCGGCGGCCCCGGCGGCGCGCCATGCCCTGCAAGCGGATAGCGTGTCGCTCCGCTCCACGGGGCGCCACGCTGGGAAAGGCAGGGGACGTTGACGCTCGGGGACGGGGACGTGGGTAGCATGTCGCGCCGAAGCGTGGTGGGCCAGAACCGTCGGCGCGACACGCTAAGCCAAAACTCTTGACAGTATGCTGGAAAATTGTAGATCCGCCGACCCTGTCGGCGTGTGTGAGGGGCTTGTCGGTTCAAGTCGTTATCTCCGTCATTCGTTGGCCGTCGTCTCTGTCGTCCCCTTTCTCTGCCTCCCCCCTTTCCCTGGGCTCGTCGAAGCTCCCCCCTTCCCCAAGGACCTCCTCAGCGCGCCAGCCAAAGCGAAAATAAGCAACGTCGTAATTGAGTCGAAGGGAAGCCCCTTCCCTTCGATCCCTCCCCCGCTGGGGGGGAGGGGATGGGAGGGGATCCGGGGGGGGGGGAGTCAGACGCCCCGGGGGGGGGGTCAGATACGACGCCCCACCTGGGAGCCCTGGAGCCCCAAAAAGCCCCAAGACGGGCCAAGAATGCCCCAAGAGGCCCCAAAGACAGTCCAAGAGAACCCCGAATCGCCGAACGATCTGTCCAAGACGCCTTGACGGCCTCCAGACGGCCCAAGAGGCCTGCAAAGCGCCCCTAAGAGGCCTCCAGGAGCTTTCTCACGAGAGCCCCAAGAAGCAAAATTCATTGATTTCCTATACGTTTCTGAAAAATTTTGGCGTTCTTGCCTCTTCCGCTTCCCGACGCGCCAAGACGGCCCAAGAGGCCCCCAAGATCGCCCGAAGACGGCCCAAGACGCCTCCAAGACGGCCCAAGAGGCCCCCAAGACGGCTCCAGGAGAGCGCCCAGACGGGGGACCCGAACGGACATTTCGAGCTCTCGGCCCAAAGAGGCCCCCAAGTGGCCCCGAAGAAGCCCCAAGAGGCCCCAAGAGGCTCCCAAGGGGCCCCAAAACCGCCCCAAGACAGCCCAGGAGAGCCCCCAATTGCCCAGGAGGCCTCCAAGAGTGCCTCGAGACGGCGCAAGAGGAGCCCTGGACGGCCCAAGGCGGCCTCAGGAGAGCCACAGGCTGTCCCAAGAAAGCCTCTGGCCTCCTCCTCTTCCTCCTCCTCCTCTCCTCCTCCTCCTCCTCCTCCTCCTCCTCCTCCTCCTCCTCCTCTCCTCCTCCTCCTCCTCCTCCTCCTCCCCCCCCATCTGCTCCCCCTCCTCCTGCTTTCCTCTGCCTCCTTCTCCTCCTCTTGCTCCTCCTCCACATCCTTCTCCCCCCTCCTCCTCTCCCATCCACCTCCTCCACCCTGCCTCCCCCCTCGTTTTCGTCTTCGTCGCTCTCAGGGTCGGCGGCAACGGCCGTAAGGCCTTCGCAATCCGACCTGGAAGCCACTGCCCAAAAAGGCGCAAACACGGACCAACAATTTCACGAATACCAAAGACAAGCCCGCCACGATCTCGAGAGGCACCCAAAACAAACAACTTTCCCCAACAGCTCCCCTTCAGGTTGCCGATATTCCCGCAGCAGGGCCTTGAACTTTTTTTTTTTCTCCAGTTGTGACGCTCACAATGGTCTTTGGAGCATGCCTCGCCGAGACTTCCAGCTGAAATGTGAAAGGATGCATTTTGCAGTGTGAAAAGAGAGGCGCTTCCAGTTCAAATCGTAGTGCTACACATGTCGGCAGACTGCACACTGGCAGTCCCTATTGCATTGACGCGCAATGGTACGCCAGCCCCTCCCTGGGCCTTGAACTGACCCCTGGGCCCCTGGGATACGAAAAGTGCTGCACCAGCTCTGGGGAAACCAAAAGGTACCAACACTGCTACTCCCCCGACCTCTCCCAGGGTGCGATCTCACCAAAATTTGGAGGCGAATCCAGCGGTGGTGACGGCCTCCCGGGAGGCCCAAAAAGGCGCAAACGAGGCAAGGCTAGCGGTATTGGTACCTCACGGACTTGGTATCTCTGCCCCCTCTGAAGTTCAGTCAATGCTGCTTTGGCCTTGCCACCCTTCGTCGCCAAGAGCGGTTTCAAAGAGCCGGAAGGCGGCCACTGGGCCGCCCCAAACTACCCGTGAGCGACCGGAAGCCTCACGATGACCCCACGACAGCCGAACGCTCCCAAAACGGCCCCAAGACGGCCCAAATATTGCCTTGCCGATCGGCGCCGAGGCAGCCAAACGCCTCCCGAAGATAACCGTAAAACGGCCAAGAACCTGTGCAACACAGCCGTAAAGTTCCCCACCTTTCACATTGCATCCATTGTCACCCGAGAACTCCACCGCTGCCCGCCCCGCCCCGCCCCCTCCACCAACAAGCCCAGTTCCACCACCACCCAACAGCCAGCGCGGCTCCTCCGCTCCGACAGCTGTCTTTTCGAACGGCGCGGTGTGCTGCATCATGGCCCCCACCCCACAGCAGCCAGCCCCGCCTTCCCTCCCCCAACCAGCTTTGCCTTTCCTCCCCCTTCAGTCGGCGCTGCCCCTCCGCCCGACCACGCTCTCTTCGCACGGAAAGGCACGCACAGCACCACGGCCCCCACCACGCCGCAGACAGCCCCGCCTTCTTCCCCAATCAGGCTTGCCTTTCCTCCACCCAGCAGCAAGTGCGGCCCCTTCTCTCCGATCGCTTTACTTTCGGACGGCATCGCACGCAAGGCGCCACAGCCGCCCCCCGCCGCAGCCCTCCATCCCCCGTACCCTTTCTCCCCCAGCCACCCCTGGCTGGCCAAAAAGAGCCTTCGGAGTGACCCAAGACGGCCTCTGGACGGCCCAAAACGAACCCCCCGACCGCCCCAAGAGACCCCCTAGGCAGCCAGGTAGGCCCCAAGAGAGCTCCAAGACGGCCCAAGAGGGCCTCAAGACGGCCCTGAGGGCCCAAGGGACTCCCAAGACTGCCCCACAGGAGCCCAGGACAGCCCAAGACGGCTCAAATGATGTCATGGGGGTTCCTCGAGAAGTGAAGACGGAAAGTGTAGCTTTTGAGCTCCTCAACACCACCACCACCATTATCATCATCATCATCATCATCATCATCATCATCATCATCATCATCATCATCATCATCATCATCATCATCATCATCATCATCAGCATCAGCATCAGCATCAGCATCAGCATCAGCATCATCACCACCACCACCACCACCACCATCATCATCATCATCATCATCAGCATCATCGTCGTCGTCGTCGTCGTCATCATCATCATCAGCATCATCATCATCAGCATCAGCATCATCATCGTCATCGTCATCACCATCATCATTCGTCATGATCACTATCGGTTCGAGCAGATGCTACCAGCTGGGCTGGTACGGTGGCGGGACTTGTCGCAGATAGCTGGATATAGCAACAATAACAGAAACTGATGCAGGAATACAGGAAGATACTAAAGCCTTCGACGGCGAAGGAACGGGGCCGATGAGCCTCGCGAATATGAACAAGGGGAGGAGGATGAGGGGAAATATTGAAGCATGCAGTCAAACAAGACTGGGTCGCGCATCAAAGAAAATCAAAACAACCAAATCGGCAAAGTGACGGCAACCGTGACACAACGCCCGACCAAATCGGTTTCGACCGCACGCGTCCAGACGACATCATACAACACCAGTTCAGGAGATTGAGTATGAGACCCCGCGAAAAGTGAGCAAAACACTGGTCGTGAGAAGGGCCGGTGGGGACGCGCGAAGCGTTTGGAATAAGTGACGCATGGTATGTTCAATCTTGTTTCCAAAAACACGTACTCCGCTACCCATACTGCGCACGACTGTTTGTAACCGAAAAAATCGTCATTCGTGGTCCCAAACACCTTCTTCAGATGCGCCCCGTCCTTCACTGGCAGGTATTGCCTCTCGTTGCCGCCCGCCTGCGAGACGAAAGATGTCATAATCAACGGCTGGGCGAAGAGGTCATCTTTGGACATGCCGGCGAATGCCTTCCCAGACGCCTTTTCGAGTATGACTTGAAGCTCCGCCTGGTCCTCCCTGCATACAAGGCGGTCCGAGAAGACCCGGTAGCACTCATGCAACCACACACGGGCGAACTTGGTCGCACCGTCCTTGTAGAGCTGCGAGTTGGTATTCGACAGCCCCTGGAAAATATTGGCGATGTCCTTCAGGTTGAACTGGTAGTGGAACTTGGAGGCCGACGGCAGAAAGCACTGAGTGTTCAGGATGGTTGTCAAAGTCTCGATCGTAGCAGTCACGATTGGTTCACAGAGCTTCTGTACGGCTGGCACGAAGCCCCCCAAGTGCTTGGAAAGGATTGCAGTGTAGATGCTGGAGATGAGTTGGCCAGTCGGCGTGAATGTCGTCGCCACAGTGAAGCGGCGCTGCAGGCGCGGGTTGATCATAAAAGACCCAGCCTTGGGGTTCATGCACGCAGTGAAAAAAATGTCTGTCAACAGCAGTTTCTCTGACAGGAACTCGCGATTGTACACTTCCCCATACGCGAGCATTTGCGTGAGGAGCATGATCGCCGATTGGGTGTCGTATTGATCGACGTATGGCATGTTAATGTCGTCGATGAAGAAGATGCACTTCTTATTCCCTGGCGGGCCGTAGGTTTTTCCCGAACGCTTGTCCAGGGAACTCATGATGATGCTCTGGAGGCGAGCGGACGTCGTGTAATTGTTGTTATTGATGGACTGGCTCATGAAATCCTCAGTTCTCGCCTTCAGGTCGGCAAGGTAGTCCTTCACAATCGTCGTCTTCCCAGTGCCAGCAACTCCAACGTACAATACTGGCTTCTTGACTTTGACATGCAGGTCCAGTACGTATTTCATACGCTCCAGTTCCATGTTACTGATTACTATGTTCTGGTACATTCTGTCCGCGATTGGCTCGTAGGAAATCACCTTGTCCTCCCATGAAACCCACTCCCGCGCCTTAAGGTCGAAGAAGTAGTCGAAGCAGTCTCCGGCATCTGGGAACTTCACCTTCGACAGTCCCTTCATAAATGAATTGAAATTCTTTCGGTGGTTCGTCACCTTATCGTCAGAAACGGCCCCTCCGATGGTCCACATCATAGCGAACGCGAAAATCGCATCGTAGGCCAGCTTGAGATCCTCGGTCCCCATCGTCCGCAACGCCTCCGCATTATCTTTTGTGTTATGCTCAAGCAAAGCGTCAACGAAGGCGGTGATCGATTGCACGAAGCCCATGTCATATATCGGGCACGAGAAACCGAACGTCTTTCGGATTGACTCTATCTGCGACTCGAAATCCGCCTCAGTGCTTCCACAGAGTGGGCGTGTTAGAATGCTTGCTGTTGCCTTAAAGGGTTTTCTAATGTTTTCCAGGGCCGCCCCCCCCCCTCATCGCGCGCGCGCGCTTCGAACATCGCCCCCTTTGGCATTGCTGTCTGGCGTCTTTTGGAACCCCAGACGACCAATATGGCCTCCAGGACGGCTTCTTAGACAGCCAAGACAACACCAAAAGGGCGAAGGCGTCAGACGGGCCAAGAACCCCCTAAGACAGCCCAATGGGCTCCACGAGGGCCCCAAGAGGTCCCGGAGGACCCGAAGAGGCCTTCTCCCTAACCTCCTCCTCCTCCTCCTCCTCCTCCTCCTCCTCCTCCTCCTCCTCCTCCTCCTCCTCCTCCTAGTCCTCGTCCTCCTCGTCCTCCTCGTCCTCTTTCTCATCCTCCTCCTCCTCCTTCCCCTCCTCCTCCTCGTCCTCCTCCGTACCGCGCCGACGAGGGCGGGATCGAGGTGTCGACGCGTCCCAATTCAGACAACTCGTCGGAGGTCCAGCATTCATAGACTCAGCATCCTTCCTGCTGCGCTGTTGCACAGGCACGGCGGCGGGGTTTGCCGAAGGCAGCTGGATAGTTGTTAAATAACAAGTAGAAGGTGTTCTGCGGCACTGGGTCCATCTTCTCGCGCCAGCTCTCCATGTATGGCTTCCAGCCTATGTCGGTCTCGTTGACGAAGAGCACTCCGCCGCGAGACACAGTCGCTGGGCTAGCGTGCTTCATGTCCTGAATCTCCAAAATCATACGCATGCTGGGCGTGAACGGGATACGCTCGTTGCTAACCAGGGTAAGCACCTTGTTGTCATCCATGACCGTGTTCATGGACTCGATCCAAGTGGCGTCGATATCACCATCCAGAATGACCCACTTGTTCTGGTGTGTGGACTTGTACCCGTTCATTTCCTTGCTCATGTTTCGCATTATGACGGCGATGAGGCCGTCCTTCCACTCTTTCGTCTTTGACATGGTGCCGTAGAGCTCGTCGGACGTGACGCCTTTCGGGTTGGCCTGCTCCCACATCCCGTCGCTGCCCGTTTCCTTGAGCGCCTCCATGAGCGTTTTCCAAACCTCCGTCTTGCCACAGCCTGTGGGCCCAATAATGAACATGCAGTGCCTGACCTCCAGGATGCCCAACATGCTGACCGTCTTGATGATGAACTGCGAGTCTGGCTGCAGGCCGCGCTGCTTAGCGACACGCACGCAGACTGTCTCGAACTCGGGGTTCTCGAACGGGTTCGGCCAGATGCCCGGAAAGAGGTCCTGGATGAGCCGCAGGAAGATGGGCATGTCACCTGTCGTGATCTTTGGTGTGTTGAAGTCGCGCAACGCACGGCAGAGCACAGGGTTCTCATCAGACTCAGGCTCTGCACGCTTGAGCCCTCCAGCCTGCCGGAGCAGAGACTTGACTGCCCGGAGACCCCAATCGTAGTGCATTTGCTTCGAAAGGAGTTCCTTGCACAGCGCGTAAAGCTGGACGAACTTATTAGCCAACGGGCGGGCCTTGATGAAACCCTCGGACATAAGCATGTTCTCGCAAATGAAGCGCAAGTCTGGCACAATCATGGCAACGGACCGGAAGAGCGCCTTCAGATTTTCTGGCAGCTCCGTGCGCCCGGCATATCCTGGATTCATGGTGATGAATGCGCCGTTCGTGTTAATCAACCGAATTTCCTCGTCCATGAAGTTCAATGAGGTCAGGTTCTGTCTGATGCCATCCAAGATCGTCTTGTACTGCGTAGAAATCACCGAGAGCACCTCGATAGAGATACGATTGAACTCATCAAAGCATCCCCAGCACCCTGTCTGGGCGATACCCATGAAAATCTGGGCCATCGTCTGATATGTCATCTGATCACTGCAATTAAACACTACGATCTGCAAGCCAATTGCTCGTGACAGATCCTTGGTAGTCTCCGTTTTACCTGTCCCTGCAGGCCCTGCGGGCGCACCGCCAAGTGTCAGGTTGAGCGCCTGTGTCAGTGTGATGTAGCATCGGTCAGTGAGCGGTGTGATGACAAGGCGGCCACAGTTGCCCACGTACTCGTAGCAGTAGATCGTGGTCCAGTCGCAGATCTTGATAACGCATGTCTTCTGATCCTCTGGAGTATACGACACCAGATTTGAGTTCTGCGGGCAGTGGGCCCAGTAGAAGCGCAATTGCTGCAACCACTTGAAATCTGTGGAATCCGTGATCCGCTTGACCACAAAGTCTTCGATGACATCACGGGAATGCACGTCGATAGTAATGATGGTGATGATCTTATTGCGCGTCTCCTTGTCGAGTGGCGTCTGTACGCGCTTGATCAGCTTCTCGATGCGTTCGTCGTTGACCTTCTTCGACTCTTTCATGGCGTTCTCGTTGCCACTCTCGATCTCCTCGAAGGCGCGGGCCGTCTCCTCTGTCCACGTGATCTGCGTGCCCACCAGGGCGAGCTGCGCGCAATAGTCCTCAAGCCAATACTCGCGAGGCTTTGCACCGTCAACATCCCAATCGGCTGTGGTTTTTGCCTGCTCGAGGATATCGCGCAGCTGCATGCGAAAGTGCGCCTCCATGGCCACCAGATAATTCTCCACCGCACCGTCCAGAATGAGGTCTGCGAAAAAGGGCACCTTCTCGCCGTCCTTAGCAAGGATGCCAGAGACGACCTTGCCAGTACTGGGATCCTTCTCGAAGTTCAGCGTCTTGACCCCCTCGTACATATCTCCGAGGTACTCGGCGACCTTCAGCGGGCGGTTTCCGTTCGATAGGATGTCCAGCAATGCCTGGTTGGCCACGAAGTAGAATCGCGGGAAGATTTTCTTCTTCTGCTCCAAGTACTCGTTCAGAGACTTCTCGCACGTGTCGATGCCCTCGCTGATCTTGTTGAGCGCGTCCTCCCGGCCTTCGAAGCAGCAGATGTCCACTATGAGGTAGGACCCTGAGGCGTCAAGCATGAGGTCCTTCCATTGGTTGTCCATCTGTTCGAAGCGCTTCGCATCCTCGGGCAACTGGGACCGGATGTCGTCGCTCTGCATGAAGATGGGCTCCAGACGGCACCAATTAGCCTGCACTTTCTGCCAGACGGTGAGAGCGGAGTCGATGGTGCGAAGCTTGCCGCTCCACTCGTCCACCAGCGGCTTGCAGAACTCGATGAAACGACCCTGCGATGTCATGCCCATCATCTCGAGGGAGTCGCCGTCGAGGCGCTCGAGGATCTCCCCGAGCTCTCCCAGCAGTGGGCACTCGGGGTTCGACGTGTCGAAGGTGACCTGCATCTTGGCCCAGTCCTTGCTGATTCTGAGCAGTTTCTTCTCGATCTTCGCCTCCTTGACTGATTGGTCGACGATCTCCGACACGTCGTCCGCGAAGTGGTGCAAGTGGAGGTCGAGGAGGTTCTTGAAGCAGAAGTCTGGGCCCTTGTCGAACGTGGTCTGCGTCACTGTCATCAGCGACGTCCAGTGCCGGTCGGCCATCGTGTCGCTGTGCAGGTCGTTGATGAGCGGTAGCACAGTGGCCATGTTCTTGACCTCGTCCTGGAGCCACTTGTACAGTTTCAATCCGCGCACACCCTTGTTCATGTTCTTGACCTGATTTTGGAAGTCGCGCACGGTCGCCACCAGCCCGTCGGTGTCGATGTTCTCCCACAGGATGTCGTTCCAATTCTCAAAAGTATCCAAGATGAGCGAGACCCCATCCCATAAGTTCTTCAGCAACACGAGCTCTTCAAAACAGTACTTCAGATCACGGTAGTTGGACATGGCCATGTCGAACAGCATTTCGAGGTCGTTGTACTCGCCTGCCCGCGCTCTAATATCCTGGGTCTTCACGTACCATTCGTTGATGGAGTCGTAGCTCTTGTCGTACTCGCGCGTTTTGGCATTTGTCTCGTCGAAAGGGCACTCCGACAGAAATTGCTTGCGGAAGGCCGACACCTCCATGCCAAAGTGATCGATCTTGCTCCGGATCTTGATACTCTCTTCGTTCTGAAGTGGCAGAATCTTCTCCTTCTCATCGTAGGCTAGGCGGATGACCTCGTCCCACTTCGAGGGCGCGTGCTCAAGCTCCTGAAGCCCTGCAGGGACGATTTGGTGTTTTTTGAGGAGGTGGCATAATTCCCTGATGGGCTGGAAGAGGCTGCTCACCGCAGTCTTTGCCAATTTCACATCTGCGATGTACGTCATCACAGCGTAAAGCAACTTCTCGTTCTCTGGCTCATCCACGGGCGACTTCGAACCAAGGCCAGACCTGAGTCTGTCGATGAAATCAACCAGCGTCTTGATCCTGGCTTCGGTGAAATCCTTCAGAAATACAGTGTACTTCTCCTCCCAGGTCTTCGCGTACTTCACCAACGCGACCTTCACAGGCTGAACGTTAACACGCAGCCAGTGGATATCTTCTGGGGTCTTTATGTTGGACAGGTCCTGCTTCATCTTTGCGAAGAAATCGATCTTCTTGTCGAACTCCGTCAATTTTGGAATCGGCCTGCCGATATCCACTTTGATGCGATCCATCCGCCACCGTGCCTGCACAATATACGGGCGCGTGAAAATGCCAAGAGCTGCATAATAGGGGTTCTGAAACGTCTTCTCAGACCCCCTCCACTGTTCGAGGAGGACATCAACCACATAATTGATTCACCCCCCAAATCAATGTTTGCTCGTCAAGTCGACAGAGAACACGCAGGATGTTCGTAGATCTACGAGCGTTCTTAGTGTGTTCATAGATTCTACGGGAAACACAATTCTGGGGCGAACCAATTCTGTAGTCGATCTCCTACTCGACTTTTCAACGCACCTCGCAGCGTACCCCCCCCCTCTTCCCGAGGCGACCTGACGCCTCCCTGACGCCTTCCTGCTGCCCTCCATTGCACCTCCGAGTCTTCCAAGGTGGCCCAAGAAGGCCAGCAAAGCCGGCAAGGTGGTGAAACAGCTTGCCCCAAGAGGCACTCGTTAGCCCCCAAGAAACGCCAGAGAAACCCTAAGAAACTCCAAAGAAACCCCAAAACACCCCCAAGACTCTCTCCAGGAGGCCCTCCTGAGACCCATTAAATAATTTTCCCTGTGTTGATATTCATTATCGTTTTCCACGGTTCTTGGTCGAGAATCGGTCCCGTTGCGGTTTTTGAACGCGCAAGACGGCCCAGGACGACCCCAAGAGAGCCTCGGGAGGGACGGCCCACGACGGGCCCAAGCAAGACCAAGAGGGCCTCTGGAGGAACCCAAAGCGGCTCCAAGGGGCCCCATCGACGGCCCGATATGGAACCACGACAACACCAAAGACGACCCCGGACGGGCAACAGGGCTCCAAGACATCCCAAGAAAGACGACCCACGAGGGCCCAAGGGACCCCCAAATTGGGCCTCAAGACGACGCTGAATCCCACGAAATCTCTCCAAGAAGTGAAAACGAGGGGCCCCACATGTGACGGCATTCCGCCTCCTCTTTCTCCTCCTCCTCCTCCTCCTCCTCCTCTTCCTCCTCCCCCTCGTCCTCCTCGTCCTCCTCGTCCTCCTCTTCCTCCTCCTCCTCCTCCTCGTCCTCCTCCTCCTCACCATCATCATTTGGGTAAGATTCATTTTCGTCGTCGTCTCATCCTCAACCGCATCATCATCGGCATCATCATCGTCACCATCATGGAAGATCATATACATCGTCAGCAGAACCATCATAAACATATTCCTCGTCCTCGTCGTAGTCATCGTCATCATCACCACCGCTATCAATATCGCCATCATCAGCATCATAAACATCGTCAAATTCATCAGCAGCAGCAGCATCATCAGCAGCATCGCCTCCATTATTTGACTCACCCCCCCCTCGCCATCACCAGCATGATATCCGACACTCGTTTCCAAAGCACTCCGTGTGTAAAGTTTGCGAGGAAAGGCCCGGCCAAGGGCGGCAAAGGGCTGCATGGCGCAGCGGCGTCGTGTCTGTCGCGCGACCTCAGTTAGCCCCAAAGACAGAAAGTTCTCCACCGGTTCGAAAGCTGTTCGCAAGGGTGGGGGGAAGGGCGAGAAAGCTGCAGATCATGGTTTCTACAATCATAACCGCTGAGCTCACATGATTTCCTACGTTCGTTGTCCAAAGAACCCCACATGTGAAGTTTGGGAGGAAAGGCCGGCCAAAGGGCGGCCAGGAGCTGCAGGGCGCAGCGGCCTGGTGTCTGCCGCGCGGCCTCAATTAGATCCAAAGTCAGAGAGCCTTCAACCGGTTCCAACCTTACCGTCTTTGAATCGTGTGAGATATGCGCATTGCCCCTTGGTGTTGGTGACACAGTCAACCCCCCACACACCCCATGCATCAGGAGCGACCTGAGCAAGCTGCTGAACACGTTGTCGGCCGTCTACTGGCATGCGAGCGAAGGGCGGGGCGACGGCGCCAATCTGGAGGTAGTGACACATTGATTTTGCACTCTCCCAGCGCCCACAGTACTGCAGCAGGCCCAGATTGTGACACGAAGAGAAAAAATGAATGGACCCGCCTCCCCGTAGCAATCCAGGCGCGCCTGGCGAGTCGCTGATGCCGACGAATCCATTGAGGTAGATGAACTTCTATAGGTCAGCACACGCAGCTGCTCTGGGCACGGCGCTGCCGTCGGGTTAAGGGGGCCGAAAAGTCAATTTCAGCAACGCAAGATCTTCGATCATGACGCTTTGGAACTCCGGCCTTCGATCCGATGTCTTAGCAAAGAGCAGTGCGAGCACGCCTGCAATGACGTCGCCCCCAGGTCCCCAGGCAAGACGAGATGCTACCCGAGGGCATTCGCAAACTCGCTGGGCCCGCAGCAACAGGCGGAAGGCGAGGAGGAGGCACGCAGCTGCCCCGCCCCGTTCCTGCGCCCGGGCAGCCACGACCAGAGGCGGGAGAACCTCCAAAGGAATGGGCGCGCGCATCTCGACCCGCTCGCAATTGCGCCAGCGAGCCACCGCGGCCCACGCAGGGCGCAATTGGCCGCGGGTCTGCGGCCAGCGGAACTGGGCGCCAACGAAGGTCTCATACCCCCTGAGCACAGAACCTTCGAGTCGCACAGACACTGAGCGCAGTCGACGAGGGTGGCGCCGAGCAGCTCGCTGCGACGCGCGACGTCGCCAGGGCGGAGCAGACCGGCGCAGTCGATGTACCGGTAGGCCAACGGGCAAACGCAGGCTTGAATGTCACCCGGAGGTCTCGCCCGGCTCGCGAGGCTGCTCGGCGCGCGAGCGCTCCGCGGTGCCTGGGGGGCCCCCCCCGGAAAGCCCATCCAGCTGCAGAAGATCCCCTGGGGCAACAACAGCGCGGCGAGCGGCAGCGCGCGTCGAAGTGCTCGGCCACCGCCTCACACCACTCGCTGGAGCACTCTGCTGCCACCTCCGCCAGGCGCCGCCAGACGCTGTCGTTGCCCGATGCCGCCCACCAGGGCGAGGTGCTGGCGGCCGCGGTCGCTCCGCCTCGCCAACGGGGGCGGGAACGCCCCACCGCCCTTTCCAGGCGGCGATCCTTCTCCAGCATCTGCCTCGCACGCACCAGTCCACGACGCACTCGCAGCGCGGGCGTGCGCCGAGGGCCTCCTGGAGCCCCGGGGGGAGCGCCTGCGCGGTCGGGGGCCTCCGCGAGACCCAGCCTGGCACCTGCGCACTTGCTGCCCAGAATGCCCTTGGGATGTTGCCGCGGCCCCACGGTCGCCGGCGCGCCCAGGCGCGCCGCGAGTAGGTCCCGCGGGGCGGCCCCGGAGCGGCCGCCAGCGGCCCGGCTATCACGGCGAGCTCGATCTCTTTGGTGAGCGCGCCGGGATCGGCGAGGTCCTCGATGGGCCCGCGCCGCACGTCGCTGCCGATGGCGATCCACCCGCGACGCTCCAGGGCAGCGCTCAGGGGGGAACCTCGGCCTGCTCGAGGCATCGCGGGAGACGGGCGGCCGGCGCCCATGCGCTGAGCGACGCGCGCGCGCGGCCTGGCCCCCGAGTTTCTCGACGGCGGCAATGGGCCTCGCTGCCTCGGGAGGCCGAAGCCTGGCCACGCGCGCCCCGGCGCCCCCCGTGGGGCCATCTGCAGGATCGCGGGCACTGCGCGCCCAGAAGGAGAGGAGGGAACCCCCTGCGAACAACTAATTGGAGGAGACATGGCAAAGATCCTGCAAGGATCCCGCTGGGCGATCGTCCTCGGACAGCAACGCCGCGCACAGCCTGCGAGTCTATGAACACTGGAATGCGCATGCCATGCACGTCGGGGCCCTGGACCGCCAGCTTGACCAGCGATCCGAGGGCGACGCCCTCCCGGGCGCAGATATGGCTTCAGAGTGGCCGGGGGGGGCCAGAACTGGAGGTGTGGGGGGGGCTCCCTAGAAGCAGATGCACAGGTCAACATGTAGAAGCATATTGCAACGTGGCGCGAGGATGTTGGCGCCAACTTGTCCGCGGGACCCCGCGCGCGGCCTTTCGGCGCCGATTGGTCGGACCAGCCGAAATCATGTCGCAGCAGCGCTGCGCAGCGAGGTCCAATCCAAATCAATGCAATTCACTGCTGCGCAGCGAGATCCAATCCAATTCAGGGCAACTGCGGATGTGCAAACGGCAATCTCTTTATCTCTTTCTCTGCTATGGCGGACAAGGCACTGCTACTGCAATTCTATCCACTGCCGTACACTGCCTCGACTATGATGGCTACTCTGTGCGCTGCAATGCAATGTTGCGCTACGCCTTGCATGTGGACGCATTTCAACGCAACGCAGTAGACTCGAATATGGAAGCACGCGAAGCGGCGCCCTCCAGACGCACAAGCAGATACGCGAAGGCCGCCTTTTCGGTATCACTGCTGCGCTTGGCTCGGCCATGCCCCTGATCCTTCCTCTCTCCTGTCTTACGTCCTGCCCTACTCCCCGCGCCGTCTCCGTTCTCGTCCGAGTTCTTGTTCCCCCTGTTCGCTCCTCCGCTCCCTCCCTCCTCGTCGCTATCGCATGTCCTCCGCCCTCCATCCCAGCACCCTTCTGTTCCCGCGCCGCGCGCGCGGCCGCTCGCTGCGACTCCCCGGCCGAGCTGGCAACGTCATGGAGCGAGAGGAGGCAGGACGTTGCACGCTGCGGGGCTACGGTTTCCAATCCTGCGCTCGGCCACCCCCCCAGGTCGCCCGATGGTTGCGCTGTCCCCGTGGGGGGTCATCGGTGGGTTCGCGGGCGCTGCCGCGCGGGGGGCGGCGCCCGCGCGGGAACCGCCCCCCGCGCGGGGCATCAGGGCCGGGCCCAGTGGACGCACGGCGCGAGGACGGCAGCGGCAAGCTCAAGGGCAGGGGGGAAGGGGTGGCACGTCGCGGAAACGGGGGCATCAAAGCCCGTAGATGGCCACCTGCGGTCTTTCAGTAGAGCCCCCAGCGGGCGCAGCAATGAGGGAGGCGCCCCCGCGCGGCCGTCGCGCTCATGCAGGAGCGCGCTCGAGCCCGCGCGCCTGACTCCTGGCCCCTCCGACGGCCTGGCTGGCGATGCACGCCCCTCGTCGCCGCCAAGCCGTCGCAGGCAATGGCGTCGCCGCCCCGCTCCACGGCGGCGCCCGAGTCGGCGCAGCCGCCGGAATCTTCCAGGGGCGGTGCCCCTTCAACGTAGTTTGGGAGGCCTCGGATCTGATTCACAAGCAGCGGGCTCAAACGCATAATATCACGCATGCCCGCGTGCTGAAAACATTTCGGCCGGAGAGGATGGGGACCGCCTCGACGCAGGTGCACCGTCGCCGCCTGCTGCATGAAATCCTCCCTGCATGAATATGCGATGCTTTCTCCAGCGAAGATGCGGTGCTATTGTGCGCCATCTGCTTGTTGAGCCTCTCAACGAAGTCGTTTCCGTGCGACCTGAAGCCGCTGATCACCATGGAGTTGCAGTCACATGGCATCCAGCGGAGCACGGTGGGGCACAAACGACAGACGCCGCGACTGCAGGTGTCCAACGTGGCCACGTTGGCATCAAGGAGTCCCTGGGCGACATTATTATGGTGATCCTCTGTGAACATGCCAGAAACAAATACATGCAGCTTGTGCGGCTGAAAGGCGGAGCCCACACCTCCTTCACAGCGCAGCAGACATTCGGAGGATCTGAGACTTCGCCCACCTCTGGAACTGCTCCGAAGTCATTGGCGCGCCTACCGCCTCCAGGACTGCCCAAGGACGATTCGCCTCCGCTCGATTTGTCCAGAATGCGACACACTCCAGGACCTTGCCACTCAGTGGGTCAAGCAGCACGTCCACCTTGCTGGGAGCCGACTCACAACCAGGGGTTGGGTTTTGAAGCAGAGGGTAGAGCAAGCTCCAATCGGGGATGTCAAGAACGGCGACGTATACACCAAGCTGCCACATCAGTTCGTCCGACTGGAAGTAGTCCTTGGTCTTCTTAGCCCTGGTCCGATTCACCATGGCAAAGATATCGTCCCTGATCTCACCGTCGACCATCTTCTCGCCCTCGCAATCCTCGCCGTCGCCGAGCTCGCCCTTGAAATCCTCGCAATAAGAACCCAAACCAACGCGGTGAATCAGGCGGCGGAAAAGCGTTTGCTTTGAATTGGACAGGTTGTTGGCCCATATTGACTTTGTTGACACCGCGCCCAGCTTCCCACACATAGCGTTACAGATCGCGATCGTGACCTTCTCCTTGGTCTCTGCCACGCTCTGGCAGCAAGAGAGCCCCGTCGCCTCGCCACGACGCCAGTGCACCAACTCTGCGTCGAGCCAGCTGCCGTTCACCAGGCTGCAAAGATGCTGGAGGTCTCGCCATTGCATAGATTTGCCCACTCTGCTTCGATCATGATGCTTGGCGTCGAAATGAAAGAACGAGTCGGTCAACTGAGAGACGCTGTCGTCACCTGCTGGAGCCGGGCCTACCCGTCGCGTGCACTCCTGTCTGGCCAGCATCTCGATGCCAGCCGCGATCCTCTTCGCGGTGGTCTGCAGCTTCTGGATGCGGGCAATCCCGAAGTGTATCATGACGTGGCTGCTTGGCCCTGAAACCTGCGGCATCGCACGGTGGCGCAAGCATATTCCAGGTACTTCGGGCCAACACAGGACGTCCAATGCCTGTGGGATGTCTTCGTGCTACTTTCCCCGATTTGGGAATATCTTCACGTTCGAACTTGCTTGGTCGGCGACTGCCATGCGCGCGAAAGAAGTTACACCACGCGAGAGCGAGTTCATCTCTGCAGCACCGTCGATCATGAACCTTTTTGGGATCCCACGCTTGATGGATGCAAGCTGCTGACACGCCAGAAATGGCCGTCGCCGTGACGAGCCGATACTCTCGATGTCCACTAGCTCGGCGAGGCTGCATACCGAATGGCGCCCATGCGACACAAACTCTGGACCAACGCCGATCTCGCAATAATCTTCTTACATACTTCTATGGGATCGCGAGGCCCCCCACCGAAACTTCGCCGCGACGTCGCCCCACGCGCGAGCACGCGTCGCGCGCACTCCCCGCCGAGGCTACGATTTCTCATCGCTGCCCACCTGCCGTCGCCTCAGCGCCGCCTTCGCTCCAAAGAGCATGCTCTTCAATGCTGATTCCTGCCTCCTCTCCGACACTCGCGGCAACAAGGGCGACCCGCGCGTGCTTGCCCCCTGGGGCGGCGTTCGCAGACTTGGGCAAGTGGGCAGCACGCGCAACAATGCTCACGCACGCAGGGGGCGCAACAAAAGGCGCCCCCTGCCGATTGCGGAAGACTTCGGAGCTCCGACGAATTCGCCGGCCGAGGGGATCAACGAAAATATTGCTTTGATCGGACTAGAATGCTTCTGCCTGGCATCATTCCGCTGGGCCTTCACTCTCTCGCGTCGTGTTTTTGTTGCTGGGGATTCTGGCGCATGCGCCATGTGCTGCGCGGGCCGATTCTCTAATCTCCGCAGTAGAACAGCGGAGCTCCACCATGAGCTGGACAACGCACGCCATCAGCAGCAGCGGCAGCTCTATCATCGCCAGCTGGCGGGGCGCGACCATCCGCTGGAGCAGCCTGCGCTGGAGCAGAACCGCCACCGCGAGATGCCGGAAGCCCGCCCGCGCCAGCAGCATCGGCATCGTCGATGCAGAGAGGGCAGAAACGACGCCGCGTGCATTTCTCATGCCAGGAGACCTCGCGAGCCAACATGGCAACGGACGCGCGATGCGTCTGCGCGCCGGTGGGTGAACGCCCAACCCCATACATTGACGAGAACTACAACGCTTGCGCTGGATATCTTCAAGACCGCTCCGCAACTACATGCTCTCAATTACTTCGCGCGTCGCCGAGCGGGGCTCGTCGCGCACCCGAACATCGCTCGGAATACATCACCCCTCTGCCACCTCATGCCCCCGACGCCCACTGAAGCCCCAAGAGGTCCCAACGCGGGCCCGACGAAGCATCGCCAGCGCATCCAACCCGCATTCCAACAGATCCCACGCGACATCACGACGAGCATCCCGAGCCCTCTGAGACGCAACCCCGACGCTATGCCGCGACTGGCCAAAAGGCATTCGATAACGATTGCAATCGACGAGGGCACAGGAAACGACGACACCGCTGGCGGCCACGCTTGAGAAACACACGCCCAAAAGGACACCACGCCACAGATGGCAACGAAACTTGTGGGCGACATGGCAAGAATCGCGTCGACGGGCCCCGTGGCTTCGAGGATCAGCCATTGCATTGCCAGTTCCAGGATTCCCAGGACCACGGAACTCGCGTTCTGTCTGGACGAGGACGATGACTGCACTGCTCGCTCCTCCTCTCTCCGCATACTCTTCTAACCTCCCCCCCCATCCTTCTCATCCTACTCATCCTCGCCCTCCTTCCCGCCCCCCCCTTCCTCGCTCGCCCCTGCTATCGCAGCGCGCTCGATTGCGCGGGTTCGATCGCCATTCCGCTGTGGTTTCGCATTTTGACAGTAGCGCGTGCGAAACCTTGGGGTTGGATTCGCATGGGTGCATAAAGTTTCGTCCAACGTGGGAATTGGCTTCGCAACTTGATCTAGCATCCGTTCACCCAGGAGGCCCCCATGCGAACGCCTTCTCAAGTCGGGGCCGCTCTCTGCCCGTCGGCCAAACTGAAAATATGGCGCCGCCTCGAGAGCCCATGGATAAGCAGGGCGGCAAACAGCTTGGACTCCATCCAGGAGCACAGCAGGGGATCGCCACGCCCCCCCCCCCCCGCCCAGACCTCGAGAGGCGCGTCGGGATCTGGGGGGCCAAATGGCCCGGGTCTCACCGCGCCCGCCCGCCGAAGAGCGCGCGCGCAAAGCCGGACCGCCTCCGGCACGTTGAGCGGCGCCGCGGCGACCCCGCCGACGAAGAGGGCGGCGCCCGAGGCGAAGACATGCTCGGCCACCGTCGAATCACGCGTGTTACTGGACAACGGGGGCTAGATAACCAATCCGATCAGCTCGTCAAGTACCCCGTTCGGCAGCCGTCGCCACGCCGCGGGCTCTACCCCGGGCAGCTCGTCCACGAGGCAAACGGCGACCCGGCGAAACATCAGGCGGCGAACCCAGCACCCAGCAAGCCCCCCCACGAGAGCGGCCGATGCGACGCTGACGAGGACGACGCACGCGGCGACCACGCCGAGCTGCTTCACTTTCACGACCTCTCCGCCCACGCCGAGACGTTCTGAGAAGAGCTCGCCGCCCCAAACGACTGCCCGCGGCTGATCCAGGGTCGCCCCCTGCTCCTCCTCTTGATGCGCACCCGATCGCTTGCCCGGTGCCCTCGCCAGACGCGCTGGAGAGCTGCCTGTCGGATCGAATCAGAAACGTCGGGGCAATGGCAGAGCCCGATGACCACGCGGCCGTCGGAACAAACACCTTCCGCGATTCTATCCGCGGGAGGGGGCCGACCATGGGCGAGCCCCCCCCCGCCGCGGAGACGTCCTGCGGACTGCGGGCAGCGCTGATGCGCGATCCGGACCGCCCCCGAAGCCCTCCCACACCCCGTGCCGGGCGCGGCCGGGGCCGGCGCGCCCCCGCCGCGGTCTCGCCGGCGGAGGTAGTCCACCTCGTGAAAGACCCCCTGCTCTAGCAGCCCGTTGGCCCTGACGTCGGAGCCAAGAACGGCCTCCTGGGCCCAGGCGACCGGACACTGCGGGAAGTTTGAAAAAATCCGAGGCGTCGCCTTCGGAGATCGAGAAACGCCCGCCTCGGGAGGAACCGCTGGGGGAGGGCGGCGAGGCGCATCGGCTGCCGGGGGCCCCGGCGGCGAACGCGCACTTGCGGGGGGCCTCCTCGAGGGGCTTCTCGAGAGAGTTGCGGCGCCGCCTGTCGATGATCGCACTCAGCCCGCGGTCGCCCTGCTGCTCCGCGCCGAACAGCCCGGCGCAGAGAGGGGGGCCCGCGCGTCGTCGGAGGCTCTCCGGTCGGCGGCCGCGCGCCCCAGGCGCGCGCCGCCGCCGCGGCCCGGCAATCCACGCGCGCACATGGGAAGCACGCGAGTGGGAGGGCGGCCCGGTTCGAAGTCGAGGGCGCGCGGAGCGCGGAAGATGAGGGCGCGCTCGAGCTCGACCGGCGCGCCTGGCTCCTGGAGCATTACCGTCGCTCCCGCGGGCGGGATGCCGAGGTCGTCGGCGGCGGGGAGAGATGCGCCGCGACGCGCGCGCGGCCTCCCAGGCACGAACCGCCCGCGTGCCCCGCAGCGGCCCCAAGGATGCCAGCGACGCCATCAGCCAGGAAATGCATTGACCCCGCGACGCGAAAATAGCAAGAAAGCTCGTCGTCAAGCTGGCGCACCAGCTGCAATTTCATCTCGGCGAAGGGCGCGATGACGCAAGACGAAGTCGCACCGCCCGCAGGGTGGCCGAGCGGGAGCCAGGAGAGATAGGCGACGGACGCGTTGACCCAGCGCCGCCGGTGTCTCCCCCGAAGCCACCGCGCACGTCTTCGCGGCCACCGCGGCGCCGCACCACTCTCAAGCCACTCGTAGAGGAGCCCGCAAGGCATGGGCAACCCTGGACAAGGCCAGGGGGCACGACGCCCCGCCCGGGTGAATTCGGAGACCCCCACCTCGAGGAGGGCGCAGAACGAGGCCGGCAGGCCAGGTGCAGAAAGCGCGCAGATCACCGATTCAACGGTGGCCAGCGAAGTCGGAGTCGCAGGTAAAGACGACGAAGGCCCGACACATGAGCTGGCCCCCCTCGGCGCTTGCAAAAGCTGCCAGGCCCGTCTGGAAACGGTCGCCCGCCTCCCCCGCCACCGCCGCCGCCGCCCCGCTCCTGTTGTAGGCCCGCTTCTTGGACTTCTTGTCCCAGGCGCGGCCCTTGCAGCCGTGGTCCACAGCGGCGTCTCCGCCCCCTCTCGAGAGAGCGTTCGCGGGGGCCTCCGTCTCGCGCCACTATGGGAAACTGAGGCAGCGAACTCCGCGGGGTGCGCTGGGCTTCTCGTCGCGCGACCCGACCTGGACCAGAGGCCTGGGAGGCCCGTGCTCAGCTGGGCCAGCCCCCAGGAGCCGCTCGCATTCACCGACTGCTGCGCGGCCTTCAGTGACTGCCCGATCTGGGCGCCGAGGAGGGCGCGCTGCCTGGGCCTGCGGAGCGCATGCAGAGGCGCCAGCATCTCCCAGAAGCGCTCGCGGTCCGAGGCGCCCGCGTCCGATCCTCTGTCCGCCGCGGAGCGTCGCGCTTCGCGACGCGCGGGTGGTGTCGCAGCCGAGCTCGGCGAAGGCCGCGGCGTCGGCGTGGGCGGACTACTCCTGTGGCTCGCGCGCTCGATTGCTCCGTTGGGCGCCAGGAGACCCACGGCGCCCCCTGCCCACGTGATCCCGGCCACCGGGCCCGCCCCCCAGGAGCTCGAGGCTGCGCCCCCGAAGAGAAGGTCACCCGGGGCGGGCTCGCCCCTTTTCGCCTTCTCGGAACCGCCAACCCTCTCCAGCGACTGCAGCGTCGCAAGCTGGATGGCCCTGTCCGCGTCGCGGCCGCCTGCCGCGATTTGGGCCCCGAGGTCGAGGTCGGCCTCCTTCTCTGGAGCCGCGCGGGCGACCTGCCCGCGCGGGCGACCTGCTCGCGCGGGAGAAGTCCGTCGGCCCGCCAGATCAGCCCGCGCGCCGTCGCCACGGCCTCTGCCGCCCTGGCCCGGACACGCGCAGTGGCCAGCCGCGGCCCCAGCAGATGCGCCGCCGCCCTGGGCTGAGCAGCGGGCGAGCTTTGAAAGCGGGGCTGGCCCGGGGCGAAAGGGGCCAGGCGCAGGCGCCCCCGGGGCGGGCCCCGCCCGATGGAGAAACCCCGGCCCAGGAGTGGGAGCTGCCACAGAAGCGAGGCCACGGGCCTCCATGCTTGTCCTCTCGGCTCGAGAAGTCCCCCAGCTGGCCCCCGATGACATCCAGCAGCTCGCTCTCGAAGTCCCTGAGGGCGCTCTGATGGTCGTCGCGCGACGCGCTGGCACGCCGAAGGATTGCGGCCCTCTTGGCGCTGCTCGCCACTGGCCCCTGCCTCCCCGCGCGTCCCGCGCGGCCCCCTGCCGCGGGAAGCGCCGCCAGGCGGGCGGGGACATGGGCGCCCAAGGCCCGCCAGGAGCCACTCCCCCGTTCCGCGCCCGGGCTGCCGGTCACGTAGGCGCCGCGCGGGCGACCTGCCCACTCCTGCGCGGCAGCCTCGCAGGCTGCGTCGACCTCGTCGCCCCCAGAGCCCTCGCCATCGTGCTCGTCGGCCGCGAGATACTTCCCCCGATCGACCTGACCGTCGACGGAGAGCTGAAGCCGACGCGCCTCGGGTCGCCCTGCGCCGCGGGAGCGGGGAATGCGACGCGTCGAAGCAGAACCCCGGCGTTCCAGTCCACGGGCTGGGGGGCGAGCTCGGGCAGGTCTGGCTGGAGGGCGCCGCCCGCCGAGTCGAAGAATTCGATCACCTCGTCCTCCGCGCAGCTCTCGGCCAACCTCGCCAAGAAGGCGGGCGAGACTCTCACGCAGGCAACACATGCGGGCATCTCTTCGCGGATGGCCGACCGCAGCGCCGCCGAGACATAGTCCGCGGAGGCGAGCGAGCGAGCGCCGTACAGGAGACAGACGGCGGGCACCACGATCAGGAGTTCCTCGAGCTCGACGTCGCGGAGGTCGCCCTCGGTTCCTCGGCGAGCCCATCGACGGCGACGGGGCCGTCGAGCTTCGCGAACTTGGTCCCAACGACGCGGGCCTCGCACCGTTCTGCCGTGCCGGCGGCGCGGGCTCTTGCTATCAGCAGCTCGGGGAGCCGTGAGCGAAGCAAGACGTCCCCCGTCTGCTCCAACGCACCTGCAGGCAGCATCGTCAGTGTGCCCTGGCCCAGCCGAAGACGCTGACGCTGGGCGGGGTGGCTGGGTTCCCGCTGCTCGGGGAGGAACTTGTCGATCGTCTCGGCCAATGAGGGGAGCAGACGCAGGCGATCACGTCCGCCAGTGTACCCGCCGCCCCCGAGCCTGGCCACGATCGCCCGCCACGCGATCGCTCATCCCTTGTGCACACCCTCCTCGCCGGAAGCGGTGGCGGCCCAGACCGTGTAGCAGTGGCTGCCAGCGGCAGCAGCGGCCAGGACCACAGGCCCGGCACCTGCCGCCCCGCTGGGCGGCTTGCGTTGGGTGTTCTCTGGGATGACGACCCAGGGCACGGCCTCTGGGTCCTCCGCCGCTTCAGACGTGGCCTCCTCGACGCTGGGGGCGGGCCTGGAGTAGGCCTCGAATCCAAGAGCAAGCTAGTGGACTGCCCGAGCCCTGACCACGGGCCCACCACGCATCAACCGCGGGCTCACCCAGCGCGCAGCGCGGGGCGGGTTCGGTCCGAGAAAGTGGCAGATCTCTTCCGTCCACTATCATAGCCACTATGCTCACATCATCATAACCATTACCACCACCACCACCACCACCACCATCATCATCATCATCATCATCATCATCAGCAGCAGCATCATCATCAGCACCAGCATCAGCATCATCATCACCAGTTGCATCATCATCACCAACATCAGCATCCTCATCATGTTCGTCATCAACATCAACATCAGCATCAACACCATCATCACCACCAGCAACAGCACCATCATCATCATCATCATCATCATCATCATCATCATCATCAGCATCATCATCATCATCATCATCATCATCATCATCATCATCATCATCATCATCATCATCATCATCATCATCATCATCACCATCATCATGCAACTCATCCCCCTCGTCCACCCCAATCCGCTCCTTCCTCTCATCATGCTCCGACGTTCCTTTCTATCCTTCTCCTTCTCCTCATCCTCATCGTCGTCGTGGTCGTCAAGATCAACGATATCTTCATCAGCGTGTTCAGTATCATCGTAAGCAGCATCATCACCACCATCATCATCACCACCACCATCATCATCAGCAGCAGTATCGGCATCATCATCATCAGCATCATCATCATCATCATCATCATCATCATCATCATCATCATCATCATCATCATCATCACCAGCATCACCATCATCATCAGCATTATCATGATCGTCATAATCAGCATCATCACCATCATTATCGACATCGTCATCATCACCATCAGCACCAGCATCATCAGCATCAGCATCATCATCGCAATCGTCATCGTCATCGTCATCATCACCATCACCTTCACCAATTTCTGAATTCTCCTCCTTCGCCCAAACGCGGCCTCGCAGCATCCCGAGACGACCTCAAGACGGCCGAGGTGTCACATGTAACGGCCACCTGAGCTTTGCTCCAACAGTCGTCACACCGAGGGTAGGACATGAGAAAGGAGGAGAAACAGAGAGGAGCTGGGTAGGCAGAACGCGAAGAGAAGAGGGGCAAAACTAGGACTTCACTAAGCCGACTCCGAAGACGAGGAGAGGCACACCGATACGACGCGGAAGAGCGCAACCCATGTCACAGCTCTCTCAGGCCTCGGGACACGAAGTGTCAAACGCAAACCGTCCCTGTGCGCTCGTCGGGCATCCCCAACCGGAATGCTGGCTGCTGGCTGCTGGGCTGGCATGGTGACGTGACGAGCCGCAGGCAGATGGATAATTGTGCGGAAGGACATGTTTTCCTCCATGACTCCTTCGACAAGGTCGAACGCGGCCTCATTCAAGAACTTCTCAAAGGACTTGTCGATCGAGTCCGTCCAGAGGAAGGAGTGCTGCATGAACGTCTGCCGGTACTCCATGCACTTCTCCTCCGTGTTGTCGATGTTGTCGGAGACAAGCGACAACAGACTCTGCATCTGGAAGTGCTCACGGATCTCATTAAGGTAGTCGCCCGCCGACATATCCAGGCGTGCCATGCATGTTACGGTGCCGAAGAAGTCCTTGAGCCAATCGTCGATTGTCTTTCTCAGGGAAGGGTCGCCGCTAAAGTGCCTGAAAGGAGGATCGAACACAATCTCATTCTGGAGCTCAATCTTCACGTCGAAAAGTGGCAACTCGCCCCTGCGCTCGATAAAAAGAGGGTCCAATATCTCGCATAGATTCTGCAGTGAAACCGCGATGGAAGCGACGAAGCCCTCAATTACGATGTTGTTAACGAAGTCTACGTACGACTTCCAGATTTTCTCCGTCTTCGAGACCTTCAGGGCTTCGCTGGAGTCCTTCAGGAACTTGTGGATCTCCTTGCCGCCTTCTGTCATGGCCATCATTCGGACACCTACGCGCTCTTTGTGCTGGAGGTCGAAAACGTCCATCGGCATCGGCTTTGCGCCCCGCTTCCTCTCCACGATGGGCTCCTTGCACCAGTTCGAGAGGATTCTTGATATGTTGCGCAAGTTCTGCTTGAGGATCTCGACCACGCTAGACACGTCGGTAACCACCTTCATAGCTACCTCGATGAACTCAGGGATCTGAGCCTCGCTGCGCCACTTCAAATCTGTCAGGCCTGGGGAGAGTGCCGCATCCATCTTGGTGATACGTTCCTCCATCAGCGGCTCCTCCACAGGTAGCAGCTCAGTAAGCACGGAGTTGTACATCTGCACGATGCAATCGAGCTGCCCAACCCACTGCCGGTACACAGGCGCATGATTGAACATCGTCGACGCAGCAGTCGGCACCTCGATGTCGAAGATAAGGAAGAAGCGCACCTCGCGTAACAGTCTCTTGAGCGCATCGTCGAAGTTGACCTTGAGCAGGCCAGTCTTTTCCTGACGGCGCAGCAAGCGCATCCTCAGCTTCTCCTTGGCGGCATCCACCTCCCTTTCTTCCCAGCTCTGGTAGCGCTGAGTTTCGTATGCCTCCAACATGTTGTGCAGATTCGTATACTGTTTCTCGACCTCGCGGAACTCCTCCGGTGTTTCTCGCAGCGTTGCATTGTACAGCATAAGCTTGCTCATTGGTTCGGTGATGCGGTTTCGCTGGCTTCGAGCCCAATATATTGCGCCCGACATAGGGGGGAGATTCTGGAATATCGGGGCATCGTCATGGCACTCGTCCACCTTCTCCCTGTTATCGATGTATGTGGTCTCAACCTCGGCAAGGTCATGCTGATACTGTTTGAGCAGCGCCTTGTGCTTCTTCTCCAACTCTGCCTGGATGATGGGGCGCTCCAGCAGCCCCTCGAAGTTGTCAAACAGCTTCAGCCTGCCCTGCACAGTGTCCAAGTCGTCGAAAGCGGAGCCAAGCAGGCTACCAAGCCTGCGGTCCAACTCCTTCACGTCGGCCCGGAACTGGTAGAAGTCGTGATCGAACTGGCGCTCGCCCACGTTCATGATGTCGTAGGGCACTGCCTTGAACTTCTCCACGGCAGCTGTGAACTCCTCTCGGATAGCATCCACTGAGAGCGAGAGCATGCTGCCTTTGGTGCCCCCTATCTCGATACGCTCGAGCTTCGTAAACTGCATCACAGTGCGAGTGAAGTCCAGCGCATCCCGGCAGCGCTCACGGAAAGCGTCCAAACGCACAAACAAGGCATCGTTCTTCATCTTCCAGCCATCCCCGCCCTGGGCAGCCGCGATGTCGCGATAGATCACATAAGTGTCCTTGAATGCCGTGCAGACCTGCAGGGTGCGGTCCAGCTTGTCGTAGCATTCGCCTGCCTCCTCACTGGAGATCATGGAGAATACGTCTGGGCCGTTGATGTACCTGGTGGCCTGGCTGATGATGGTGTTACAGATTTCTCGGATTAGGACTGCCAGCCTTGTCGGCGTGTTGTAAAACTTCGAATACCGCCAGATGAGAAGAATTTTGTGCAGCACGCTGTCAAACAGCTGATCGAGAGTTTCGAAGTCGGCGCTCTCACTCATGATCTTATCGATGTCCTTGGTCAGAGTGGAAAGGAAGCGGACATTATCGTTGGCCTCCTCCCGAGCCTCTTCCACCTCCTTCTGCAGTCGCGAAAAAGGCGTGGTGTAGGTGCTCTTGCTCGTCTCGAGAAACTTGAGCACCTTCTTTAAGGCGTCCATGCCAAGCTGAGAGTGAATGGAGTTCAGATTGGCGGCCTTGTTCTTCCAGAACAGCAGCTCGGCGCTAGGCTCCGGGTTGCGGCCCTCCTTCAGCAACATCTCCGGGTCCTGCTTCAGAACATGGCGGATCTGCTTCGTCCACGTGATCACCGCGCCCTCGAGCACATGGACTCGATCCTTGCTACCCATGCTCGAACTGTTGCCACCGGCGGATCCAGCAGACGGTCCACTGGTGGGCAACGCATCCCTGGGCGGCTGCGGCAGCCACGTGTGGCCTTTCATGAGGCCCACGGTCACGTGGAGGTTTGCGAGGAAGACGTGGTACTTGTCCATGAGGTCCTTCGCAATGAGGTCGGACCAGCCCCTCTGGTTGGCTGGGTTTGTCAGGGTAGAGAGGTAGACGGACTGGCAGTACACACTCAGCAAATCCATAACGTTCTTCGTAATCTCGACGAGAATGACTGAGTCGCCGATATTGTTGATACCTATCTCCTGCTCGGGGCGCGACCTATGCATCATGGTGAGTTTCTTCTTCATCTGGTTGGCGCTGGGCATGTCAGTGCTATTGGCTTGCACTGATTCTCCTGTCGAGTAAAATGCACAGAAGGTGCACTCTCTGTCATCCAGGAAACGACTCAATGCTGCCATAGAAGCCTGGTCAGCTAGGAAGGTGGAAACGAACTTTTCCGCCTTCTCTGCCTTGGTTCCCAGCAGTGTGCTCAGGCGCTTCAGCACCCATTCGACGCGGGCATCGCCCCTCTTCTTGTCGTCGTCCCCGCCCATGTCCTGGTATTCGGGCTCGCGCGCACTTCGCAGGCCGCACGGGGAAGCTCTAATCCTGGCCGCGTCGTGGCTGATGCGCAGCTTGAGCCGGAGACTCTGGACACACACGCGCGCACGTACAACAAGCAACGATCGCAGCTTTCAAGCTGGTCATCCGGCAGCCTCCCTCTGGGATCATACGGCTGCGGAAGGCAGGCCACCTTGGCAAGCAAGGGATGTGCGCGTGGTCGTGCTGCTGTTTCCTTCAGCGAACACTCGGGAAAAGAAGAGGCAACGAAGAGAGGTTGCAACAACCCGACACACGTCACACCCGCCAGCGCGCCCACCGCAGAGGACAAGAGCGGCGCACCCCCTGCGAAAACGGATGGGCACCGCTGCAGCCGAAGAGGGGAGGCAACGGCAGAAGTCCGCGCACGCCCGCGCCGGCGCAGGTGCCCGTCGAGGAGGACGGGGAGAGAAAGAGGAGAGCAGGACGAAAGCGGTAGCAAAAGGCGAGGGAGCAAGGCAAGAAGACTAACATTAACCCCCAAAGGCGAGGTATCACTCGATTGCGCCACTGAAGGCGGGCCTGACAAGGAGAAAGGCCGAGGAGATACCACCCACAAGGATACAACCATCTATATGCACATATCCGCCAGCCCCCCTGTGGGGCCATCAGGCTGCGCGGCAGAGGTTTTCTGCTTTGCGTCGGTACGATTCTTCAATCTCCGAGGTTATCATTATACTTCCTGCTTCCCACTGTAAACTGTTACTGTCCGCGCCAAGAGGGCGGGACCGAAAAGGAACCGGATGCCGTCCCCGAATCGCGTTGCCTGCATCTCTGGTGGATCTGAAACACAAATGCATGAGACTCGCGCCCGCGAAATAATAACCCATCGTGAATTACACCAGGTTCACGTTTCCGAGGCCACAATCGTTCTTACAAAGTTCGCCAAGTTCGCCCTACCGAGGCCAAAATGCATTTTAAAATGCGCCCGATTCGCGAATATGTACCAGTTCTCAGTCTCAAATGTTTTACCTCTACTTTCTGTTTCCTACTGTAAACTGTCACTGTAAACTGTAAACGGACATGGAACCAGCTACCGTCCCCGAGTGGCGTGCTCCAAATTTCGGGGGAGCCCTGACACACGTACAATTAGAAAGATCCGCGCCCCCGAGGCCATAAGCGCCCCTGGAGCCAGAAATCCGAAGATTCGCACTCCCGAAGCCAGAACCCCTTTTGAATTACGCTGGGCTCGCGCTCCCGAGGCCAGAATCACTTGCAGATTGCACGAAGTTCAGGGTGGGGGCCAGGCGTCCCGGTAAAACGGGCTGTATTTTTCGGCCGGACTCGACATCTCGATATCTCGATATCTCGCATGCGGATCCCCCACCCAGGGCAGCGTTTCGTGGCCCCAAAGGGAGCTCCACCGAAAGCGGCACCCACAACGCGTTACGAACAATTGCGTATGGTTGGGTCCTTCGCCAGGATAATTCGCCCGGACTCGACATCTCGATATCTCGACATCTCGATACCGGGGGGGCGGCTTGGCGGCGACTCGAGCTCTCGACGTCTCGATACCGGGGGCGGGGCCAGGCGGGGACTCGTTGCCTCGATGTCTCGATATCGTGGGCGGGGCCGGGTGGGGACTCGATATCTCGATCTCTCGTTATCGTGGGCGGGGCCAGGCGGGCCCGAAACCCACTCCAAGACGGCACAGGACCCCGCAACCTGCCCCAGCATCCCAAAGTGCGCCAAGATCGTCAATGTCGCAAATGCGCGGGCTGGACGGCTGTCGGCGGCCTGGCATCATGAGAAGGAGCTCCAGGGAGCCCGCGGAGGGCCAAAGAGGGCCCGAAACCCACGACGGCCCGAAGCCCTCGACCGTGTGCGCGCCGAGACGCTTCAAAACGGCCCTCGACCGTGTGCGCGCTGAGAGGGGAATGCTGATCGTACTGCTGCTGATGCTGCTGCTGCTGCTCCATGCTGGTCGTGCTGCCTCGAAGCCACCCCCTCGATATCAAAAAAACTATATATTGAGATATCGAGTCCCCGCCCGGTCCCGCCCCCGATACATCGAGATATCGATATATCGAGATATCGAGATATCGAGTCCCCACCCCAAACCGCCCCCGGATATCGAGATGTCGAGATATCGAGTCCCCGCCCGGCCCCGCCCCCGATATCGAGACATCGAGACATCGAGTCCCCGCCAAGCCCCGCCCCCGATATCGAGATATCGAGTTATCGAGTCCTCCCGACCCCCACGGGGACGCCTTGCGACCACAATGGATTATGAATGCCGGGTGGCATGCGGCCCCTCCCTCCCACTGGGGCCTTCGGCGGAGCTCGCTGAGACCACGAAGCGTGTGAGGTGTGCCGACATGAAGGCGGTAGTGACACGCGGACCCTCCCACTAGGGGCTTCGGTGAAGCGCCCCATGGGGCCACGAAGCGTGCGAGCGGTGCGCCGGGATGGGTGCGGCGGTGACACGCGGACCCTCCCACTGCACTATGGCCGCGGGTGTAGCTCCCTATGGGGCCACGGAACGTGTGAGGGGTGTGCCCGCATGAGCCCCTCATGGCGGCACGAAGAGCGTGATGGAGTGTATCCAAACGAACCTGGCGGTGGTGATGGTGCTGCTGCTGGGATGCTAATGATGTTTATGCTGATGGCGGTAGTGGCGGTGGTGATGATGATGGTGGTGGTGGCGATGGTGATGACGATGGTGGTGCTGCTGCTGCTGATGATGATGATGATTGTGATGATGGTGGTGGTGACAATCCCGACGACGATGACGATGAAGATGACAATGGTGATGGTAATGATGGTGATGGTGGTGATGATAGTGGTGTTGGCGGTGATGATAATGATGATGTTGATGCGGGTGGTGATGCTGGTGATGTTTACGATGATGCTGATGATGCGAATGCTTATGATTATGAAGATGATGGTAGCGGTGGTGCCGATGACGATGGTGATGATGACGATGACGATGATGATGATGCGGGTGATGCTTGTAAGGGTGATGGCGGTGGTGGTGTTAATGTTGTTGGTGTTGATTGTGAGGTTGCTAATGATGACAAGGATGACGGTGATAGGGACTATGTTGATGGTGGCGCTGATGCTGATGATGGCGATGGTAGCAACAATAAGACAAATATTACGCGGTGCAGCCTACGTAATGCAATCTATGCGGAGCAAACTACGTGGTGCAACCGATGTGGTGCAACCTACGCGGTGCAACCTATGCAATGCATTCTATACGGTGCAACCTACACGGTGAAATTTACGCGATTCAACTGATGTAATGCAATCTACGCGGTGCAATATATGCGGTGCATTCTACGTGGTGCAATCTACGCGGTGCAACTAATCTTGACCGTCTTGAAGCTGTCCTCTCCACTGCTCGTGCAAACATCCCACCCTCCCACCCGCAACTTGGTCGCAAGACCTTTTCAGACAAGACCGTGACGGTAGGTACCACATGGCACTTGGCCACGACACCGATGCCGACGACGACAGCGACATCGACGACGACGGCGCCGCCGACAGCGACTGCGACGACACCGACGACGTCTCCAATGTTTTCGACGGCGACAACGACGACGACGACACCGACGACGACGACAACGACGCCGACGACGACGACGAAGACGACGACGACGTCGCCAACGGAGACGACGACGAGGGAGGAGAAAAAACGACGACGGCGACAACGACGACAACGACGATGGAGGAGGGAAGACGGCGACGACGCCAACGACGAAGAAGGAGGAAGGACGGCGACGCCGACGACGACAACGACGAGGGAGGAGGGAAGACGACGACGATGACAACGACGACGAAGACGACGACGACGGCGACGAAATGAAAGGACGACGACGAGACGCCGACGACGGACGACGACGACGAGGGAGGAGGATAACGACGAGGGAGGAGTGAAGACCACGACGACGACGACGACGACGACGACGACGACGAAATAGGAGGGACAACGACGAGACGCCGACGAAGACAACGAGGGAGGAAGGACGACCACGGCGACAACGACGACGGAAACGACGACGACGCCAAGACGACGACAACGACGACGAGGAAAGACAGAAGACGACGACGGCGACGACGACGACGACGACGACGAGAGGAGGGAGGACGACGACGACGACGACGACGCAAGAGCGCGCGCGCACGCTTTTGTTGAAAATCCGTGTTGCGAAACCTTGGGTTCTTGTAGGTTTTTTTGGACGCACGATTTTGAAATCCTTCTGAAACCGATGGTTTTTGAAGGATTTCGGCATACGCCCGCGACGACGCGCGCGTCTGCACTTCGTCCCATTTTTGCAGAGGATTCTCGCGACGGCACACGCGCAAGGGCGTTCGACAGATTTCGACATGCGCGCGCGAAGCCCGTTTGGTAGCATTTTGTGAAAATCTTGAAAAACCTATGGTTTTCTTAAGATTTCGCAAGAGCTCGCGCGGAAGTTTTTTTAGCAAATCAGTGTTGCGAAACCATGTGTTTTTGTATGTTGTTTGGAAACTCGATTGCGAAATCCCTCCGGCACCGAAGGTTTTTAGGGGATTTCGGCATGCGCGCGCGACGACGCGCGCGTGCGCACTTCGTCCCATTTGTTGCAAGGGATTCGTGAAAAAGTGTTATGCTAGAACAAAAAATGTCACCGCATAGTGTTTTTTTACAAGGGAACCGCAAGGGGGGGGAACCCGGCTTGGCTGGGATAGTTCGAATTCATATTTCGGATGCACATGTGGTCAGAATCATATGTAATTTGCAGCACGCGCGGGGGTCCCGATAAGTCCGGGGGGGGGGGGTAGAATCTATTAGTCTTTCAGAAAGGAGAATCTATGTAATACAATCTACGCGGTGCAGTCTATGTGATGCGATTCACTTGACGAACTTGAACTTGTCAACTCCACTGCTCGCGCAATCATCCCACCCACCCACCCGCAACTTAGATCGCAAAACCCATGCGGAAGCGATTTCGATGAGTGCTTGGTGTTG